TGTTCATAAAAACCCATGCACTATTTAGGAATATCATGTTATTTAGTCACTGAAAAATATGATTTAATCCTGTGAAGTGCCTAGCACCCTTAATTCCTACTGATTTTACAGGAAGCTGAATCTATTCAGTACCTGATAAAAGGGTATTTATCACATAAAATGATCAGGCCCTAAAAGAATCTTAACTCAGACCTCAATAGCTGTTAGTATTCACCTCTGGTATACATAATCAAAACTTAGTTTGGTAGTTGACTGCCCAGCCCACATCAGGTAATATGTTTCGGCCCAGGGAGAAGCTCTTTCTCCAGTATTCTGAGCAAAGCCACAAGTACTGTACTGTATCTTGAAAGGGGAAGTCAGTGAGTCAGCAAAATAAGACTGACTGATTTACATATTGGCTTCTGTGCATAATCCAAAGCATAATGCAAATGACTTCATGTCTTTAGCATCAGTTACTGATGCACTGATTGTTTACTAGCTTTTAAGTACTTGGTTATCTTAAAAAGCAGCAAACATACCAAATCCAATTAATAAAGGTTTAAATTCTCCTTTCCTAGTAGCTTTGCAGTACTTTCCAAAAAAAGTACAAACCAAACTTTCTTGTTATCTCTGTTTGTACACTTCTTACAGCACCCCGAAGGGGCAAGGATTTTACATTTTTGCATGTTGATATATGATTAACAGTGGCCTGCTGAGTAACTTTTTTTTCCTCTTCCTTTGTATAGTCAATTAACATTTTAAAGGTGAAGAAGAAGAATGGCATTGGACTGGCTTCACTGAGTATTTGCAAACACTGTCTTGATGGCACAAAGGATGATAAAGCATTTGGAATTTGTGCCACAGTTCTTACTTGGCTGGTTTCCTAGTAGGGTTTAAAAAGTGTGTGGATAGCTGTTCATGAAAGGGAGGATGTCTTGTGGTTAGGGCACATGACAGACTCAGAAGATCTGCCTCTGGTTCCTGATTTTTTCTAAACCTGTTAGTGTGTATGACCTTGCACTGTTTGTGTAAACTCTTCAGACCACCCCACCTCTATGAAATGAAGATGGTAATATTTCCTTCTAATTTTTGCCTCTCTGTAGACAGTAAATTCTTCAGGCAGGGACTATGCCTTTTTGTGTGTCTGTACAGTGTCCTCCTCAGTTGGGGCCTGTGGGTGCTTCTGGAAATAACAAATCACAGGAAGATCAATTCTACACTGACTTACTTCTTGGTATACCATGTCTTATCTTTGTGGGCTAAATCCTGTACCAGTAGCTTCTGTCTCTCTGACAGTTGTCTGCTATGACTCCTTAATTCACTAAAAACACTGGAACTGATTCTGCCTGTGATGAAGATCATGTATACAGGGCTAGGGACAGATATAACACATAAAGCAGTTTAAGTGATCAGAAACTGGTTTAAACCTGTAACAAAACAGACATTCAGTGTACATAAACCAGTTTCAAAATGGTCAAAACCAGTTTGAGATAAACCTGGTTGAATGTAGTATCAGACTTAACTGATTTGGCTCAAACTGGTTTATGCAATGTCTGTCCCAGACCCCTTGCTGGTTTAAGATAAACCAGACTCCCCCAGCATCCCAGCATGCTCTCTGGGCTGGGTGGGACTCTCTGCTCCAGCCGCAGGGCTAACCCCACCCCTCTGCTCTCTAGCTGGAGCAGGAACCTGTCCTAGCAGAGACACCGCCTGGCATGGCCCCGTTAAGGCAAAGTGGGCAGGGAGGAGGTTAATTCTTCCGTCCTTCCCCTCTTCCACCACCGCAGCTGGGGTCAGCTTGTCTGCCAGGGAGCAGAGGGGAGGCGGCTGCAGCGGTGGCCCCTGGAGCTGGCAGACCCCAGCTGCAGGGAAGGGACAGAGGGAAGAATTAACCCTTCTCCCTGCTCCCTTCACTTTAATGGCGCAATGCTGTATTGGGTGTCCTGCAGGGTTGGGGGGCGGGGCTCTGTTCTGTGCTGGGGAGGACTCTTCCCCCTCCTTCTCCTTCCAAGGTGGGGAGGGGGACTCTGTGAGGTGCTGGATGGGGATTCTTCCTCCTCCGCCCCTTCCTCTGCTGCTACTGTGGGGCTGCAGAGGGTGGGGAGGCTTCATGCAATCCTGCCTGGCCCCAGAGCAGGGGTGGGGTGCAGGGGGAGGCTCTGTTCTATGCTGGGGGGAACCTTGCCCCTCCACTTCCTCCTCTTCCTCCCCCCAGAGGGGAAGCAGGAGCGCAGAGCTCAGCTGAGTGGGGTGTGGGTGTGTGGGGTATAAGGGAAGGTGGGGCGTGTAAGGACTCCCACACCCTCCCCACATGGTATGCAGCCCCCACTGCCTGCCAGCAGCAGCAGGCAAGGAGGTCAGGGCACTGGTGCCTGGTGCAGGCACAGCTCCAGCTAGTGCTGTACAGGGGGAGGGAGTGGAGCTTGCCTTATCCCCGTGGCTCTGTTCCCTGAGTCTGAGCCTACAGCTCCAGCCCTCGCAGTGGGGGAACCCCCACACTGGAGCCAGCTGCTTCCCCCACTCCTCGCTGTGAGGGCCCAGCACTCTGTCAGGAGTGGAGGGAGCCCTGCACCCTGCTTCCCCACTGAGTCCAGTGTGGGGCTACCCCACTATGAGTGTGCAGCTGTAGGTGCACGGCATGGAGCCATGATAAGAGGCAGTCAGGTCTGGACTGGGGGCAAGAAGAGCAGCCCCATCCAGCCTGCCCAGCCACTTCTATTCCTATGGCTCCATACCGCACCTGCAGCTCTGCACTCACAGGGCACGCCCAGACGAGCACACATGTGCCTCTTGCCCCACCTCAGACCCCTTTGAGGTGGGGCAAGAGGCACATGCAGGAATTTAAAATGTTCCCCACACTGCAAGTTTGCAGCATGGGGAGAAAATTAGACCTCTGGGGTCTAAAAAAACTGAAACAAAAAAAGCAGGGCAGGGCACAGTCCTGGACCATGCCCTGAGGCAACCAGAGGCTGGGTCCTCCAGGGAGATACTCTGGTTGCAAGAATGACGCTCTGGCTGCCATGGTTGGCCCCTCACCCTGGTGTGTCCAATCCCTGCCCAGCTGCGTCCAATCCCTGCCCAGCTGGGTCCTGCCACCCTGGGCCCAGCCCGGCTGGGTGGCAGAGGGGCCCTGAGGGTGGCAGGACCTGGCTGGGCCCAGCATGCGGGGACCGCGTGCTGCATCAGGTCCTGCCACCAAGGGCCCAGCCCGGCCTGGCAGCAGAGGTATCCCAGGGCTAGCAGGACCCAGCTGGGCCCTGGAACCCCAGGTGGAGGGGCTGGGGCCCTGTGGGGGATAGAGGCTGTGGCCCTCCAGGTGGGAGCTGGAGCCTTGTGGGGAGTTCCCCCCAGCATGGAACAAAGCCTCCCCCTGTCCTGGGTGGTGAGAAGTCGGGGGGTCGGGCAGCATCCCATAGAGCCCCACTCCCCACTCCACAGCAATGGGGGAGAAGCAGGGGGAAGAGATCCCCTCTGGGCCAGGAAGCCTCACAGAGCCCCCCTCCCCACCCCACGATAGGGGGAAGGAGGAGGGAGAAGAGCCTTTCCAGCACCGAACAGGGCCTCCCTCCTAGCCCCACAGTAGTGGGGGAAAAGGAGGAGAGGGAAGAATTCCCCTCTGGGGCCAAGCAGCCCTGTGTGCCCAGCATTGGCAGTGCATAGGGATGCACGTGTTCCCCCTGAGATTGTCTGCTGCCGACACTGCCAGCCATGCCTGCTGGTGATCACCACTCGCCACCCCTCCCCCCCGGCTTGCCGTCAACACCACCGGTGGCATCTGTGGGTGGTCGCTCATCACCACCAACGCTCCTGGCCGTATCTGCGCTCGCCATCCTCCCCTTTGCCGGCAACACTGCCACGGCTGCCTGCAGGAGCTCCTTGCTCACTGCTGCCTTGCCGCCGTTGCCACTTGTGGGAGGTTGCCGCGCCCCACCAGCCTCGGGAGGCACTTAACTATCATGGTGCCCAGATTACTCCCGGCTATCAGGGAACTGTTGGGGTGGGCCTGGCCATGCCACCCTTCCCTTCTCAGCTCAGCTTCCCTGTGGAAGGGAGGGCTGCTCTTGCGCCCCAGGCTTGTGGCTTGAGCCACTGCAGGCATGTGCCGAACATCTATCTGCTTGCAAACCAGTTCACTCTCTGTAGGTTCGACTAACCTGCAAAGACTGAATCAGTGCAGGCTCAGGCTTTTTGAATGTCTGTCTCTAGCCCAGGAGACTTAATGCTTTTTGCAGCTGTCTTGTGTTTGTGGAATCCTTTTTCACCAGACAGACAAATAACTGCAGGTGCCACCACCTTCTGAGTGAAGTTTTGGCTTCACCTCTGGGAAGTAGCTTCCACCCAATAGCTGTCTATAGGTGGTTATGTGGGTAATGGCTTGTGAGGCACAAGTGGCTCTTTAGCTTGTTACCTGTGGCTCTCCACAAAAAATGTTATCAAATAATTCTTTTTTTGCTTTGGTTTGTTTTAACTATATGCATTGCATCATATAAAATACATCCACAAGGCCACATGCCAGTGCTGCTATGTTGGAAATCTGCTGTGGGTCCATATGTGATGTGTTTAACTCTGTCACTGGAAGCTCTTCAGTGCAGGTTGGATAACCATTTGTCCAGGACAAGGAGGATCCTGCCTTGAGCAGATGGTTGGACTTGGTGATCTCTTGAGGTCCCTTTCAGGCCATTTTTTCCTCTGATTTTATGATTCTATAATGAACTGTAGTTTCATTTTTTTTTAACTGGCGTATACTGGGAACAATTCACTGAAGGGCGAATTAATCATGAATCGTTGTTGTTCTTGGTTAACACTGACTGTTCATATGGGTCCTGATCCTATAAGAACTGATTGCCATAGATACATGGCAATAAGTTATCCTGAGTTAAGGGGCTTCTACGTATGGTTTCTCATGATACTGTTGATATACAACTGTAGGTAAAGGTCTTAACTTTTCTCCTGCAGAGAGAAAAGTCATGAAAGTGGCAGCAAACTCAGCAGGTTACAACTTCTTCCAGTTCATTCTGTAGGACAGTGAGCTTGTCTCACTGCAGAAGGTAGTCCCCAGGCCTTCAGCACTTGGATGTGAGGAAGATTCTTATAGCCAAAATCACATTCAAACTACAGCTGCTCCTTCAGCCCTGTCCTCTGCTAGCTTATGGACCTCCATATCTGTGAAGTGCCCAATCATGGAAACTGAGGTAAGAACAGCACAGTTTGCCTTTGCTTTTTAAAAAATATTTTTAGTGAATAATTCAATAATTTCCAAACAATAGTAAAATAGCAGAATTAAAATGCAGCAAGTGGTTCTTTTGTTCATACATGGATTTTTTTAACTATCCACTGTAGACCTTAAACATTTTGGAAAGCTGGTTCCAAGCACAGTTACACTGCAATATGACTGGAGCTGTCCCATGGTGAGTTTAAGCTACATAATACTTTTATGTTGAATAAATGAAGAGTGCTAATATCCAGGGATCCTGCTTTTCTCTGATTTAAAAAAAGCCCCAATTTTTGGTTAAAAAAAAGTAACCCCAAATCCACATTTTTCTGTGATTTAAATGAAACACCACTAAGATAGCTATATAGATAGATAGATAGATAGTGGTGTTTCATTTTAATCATGGAAAAATGGTTACTTTTTTAAACTGAAAATTGGGGATTTTTTTTAATCAGAGAAAACCAAGATCCCTACTATCCCAGTAGATTTAGAACAAAAACACGTCTCCCTGGCAGTTACACCAGCTTAAAACCAATGTCTAGATATTTACATTTTTCTTTCAAACCTGCATGATTATATTTTAGCAAATAAATACAATGCATTCTTCAATAGGAATGCAAAAGTTTTATCACAGGCTCCCCCATTAGCATTTGGATATAGTTTCACATTGTAAAATTCCAAGACATTGTGTGCAGAAAGCAGGTAGATCTTGCCCATGTAATGGTGACTCTTTGTTAAATGTGACAGCTAGCTCCCTAATTAATCTTAGAAATGTCAGAGCCCACTGGAAGTAATTGGGCCTGACAGTTCAAGGGCTAATTAGCTTCAAACCCTGCATTTTATGTTGCTTCCTACACAGTTCCAGGTCCTTTATTTACTTTATTTTTACAGAATTCTTGTTGTTTTGGACTGTATCTGTGTCTGCTTGTCTGCATGGAGGGTGCGGGAAAGGCTGAGACTGGAGCCTATTTAAGAGTTGTCAGGTTGGGTGTGCTGGAGGCAGTCATAAGAAATCCCCTAGAGAACACTGACTTGTAGGGAAAACAAAATGACAGTAAGCTCTGGGTGAGCCTACTGGGACAGCTCTGAAGAGGAGCCTGTTAGATCAGAACCTCATGAGGGCTCTTTATTCTCAGGCATCAACAGTATCTAGAAGCATAATGCAGTTGTCATTTTTAATCCCAGGCTGAGCAGGGGGTGAAGTTGTTTTTGTTCTTCATCATCTCCAACCAGGCATAATGGGGTGCTTGCATGAAATACTCTTCTTGGGCCTAAGATTATTCCTGTTTGCTTCCCATTTCATTATGGATTAGGTTCACAAAGTTTGGACCCTCTGTCAAATGTGCAAAGGCCATATTCTGAACAGAGCTAAAGCAGAATCACATAATCCTTCTCTCCCCTTTCCCCTCCCTCCTTCCATGTTAATCTCCTCTTTTTGTTTTCCTGTTATTTTTATTGTTTTGAATATTTGTGACAAGCCCTACGTTGGTCTGAATTCTTACAGTTTCCTTCGCCTGTCAACAGAAGTGAACAAATTCATCTCAGAACCAAAACCAAATTTCTACAAATGGAATTTTGAAAGGTGCCACTGGATGCACTGTCCTGCCTGGCTGTGCCCCCTCCCCGCCACTGCAGCGGGATGGGCCAGGGCCCTTATTGGGGGCAGCAGCCCCTGTCCTAATGTGAGAGAGCGCAAACCCCTTCCCAGTGAGCACTGGGGTCTGGAATGGACAAGAGCCCTGCAAGCCCCCCGCAGTGCCGCTGCACTCCACAGCAGCTCTGCTAGCCCCACAGCATGGCCCTGCACTGGGAAGGGGCTCGCACTCCAGGAAACCATCAAGGACTGCTCCCCATCACAGTCACTCACCACTCCCTGCTCCAGATGCCGGGTGAGTGACCATGATGCTCATTTTGTGCTTGAGGCAAAACCCCTCCCAGAAAGAGGGGGCTTATTCAACTGCTGGCCCTGAGCGCTTGCAGTCCTGTAGGGGTTAACTTGCAGCCCCTGGGCTCCCAGTCAGTGGATGCTTCCCCCCATTATTCTCCCCTGAGCTTCAGCTGTGGCCTAGTGGGGCAGCTAGCGGCAGCAGCTGAATAAGCACTCTCCTCTCTGCCCCACTCTACCGCAGGGGCCATGATGCCTGCTGCTGCAGCAGCAAGCGGGGAACACTGGGCAGACCTGGTGCCTGCATTGCCTCAGTCCAGATAGGATGTTTGTCCTATTACAAACCAGTTCAGCCTAGGCCGGTTAGACTAACCTGCAAAGGTTTTTCATAGATTAAGGGTCGGAAGGAACCTAGTAGATCTTCTAGCCCGACCCCCCGCCAGGGAGGGAGAACAACAAAAACCCCAAAACAAGAAACAGGACTCAAATGAGTCCAGCCAGGTAGGCATCCAGCCTCTTCTTAAAGACCCCCAGGGTAGGGGCCAGCACCACTTCCCTTGGAAGTTGGTTCCAGCTCCTAGCCGCCCTAACTGTGAAGTAGTTCTTGCGGATGTCCAATCTATACCTCCTCTCCATCAACTTGTGCCCATTACTCCTTGTTATGCCAGCGGGCGCTAGGGGAAACAGCGTCTCCCCCAAACCCTTCTGGTCCCCCCTAGTGAGTCTATAGACGGTCACCAGGTCCCCCCTCAGCCTTCTCTTGTGGAGGCTGAATAGGTTCAGGTCCCGCAGTCTCTCACTGTAGGGTCTGCCCTGTTGTCCCCGGATCATGCGGGTGGCCCTCCTCTGGACCCTCTCCATATTGTCCACATCCCTCTTGAAATGGGGCGCACAGAACTGGACACAATACTCCAGCTGTGGCCTGACCAGCGTCGCGTAGAGGGGGAGGATCACCTCCTTGGCTCTACTCGAGATGCACCTGTGGATGCATGACAAGGTCCGGTTAGCCCTGCCAACCATGACTTCGCATTGTCGGCCCATGTTCATCTTGGAGTCAATAATGACTCCAAGATCTCTTTCTGCCTCCGTGCTCTTGAGTAGGGAGTTCCCCATTGTGTAAGGTTGAATCAGTTCAGGCTCCAGCTTTTTGAATGTCTGTCCCTAGCCAAGGGGAAATTAATTAGAATAGCTATTGTGGAATAACTCCTCATGCAGAAACCTCCTTCCCAAAATAAGAGTTGGGAGGGTGACGTTGTTATTCAGAATAAGAGGTGCCCACACAGGGAGTTTCACCAGCTTAAAACAACAATTCCAGTTAGTTTCTCCATGTAGACAAACCCTAAGAAGAACTGCAAGGAAACCCCTGGTTTGGATCATAAGCTGTCTGGGGCAGGAACTGCTTCTATCTGTATAGTGCCTAGCATAGGAGCTGATTCTGATCCCTAGGTGCTACCACAACACAAGTGAAAAAATAACAAGGATCCTCGTTTCCTTAACATCACAAATGTTAGAATCCAGTCTCGCAATGAGGCTTTTTAATGAGCATTTTTCATCTCTGTGGAATCAAGACACTTCACATATACCTGTAGTGATAGAATTTGTAATTTAAAGATGCTTCCAAACTGAGGAGACTGCGGAAGCTGGTAACTGGGAGATGGTCCCTCAGATAAGCAGCTAGTCAGGGAAACCAAGAGACTGCAGAGGCTTGTTTATAGCTCCACAAATAAAAGTTATTGTCAGTTCTTCTCATCTAAGGATGTCTGTGTTTATGAAACCCAGTGATCACTAAAGTACCATGCCAAAAGAGCATCCACTCCAGAGAAGGGAGACTGGGAAAGGTGTGGAGTGTTCTGTATCTGATTTTCTTGTGCTTTTTTAAATCTTAATTTCTTGTCAAACACTGCTTTTCCTCAGCTGTCACTTGACACTTCTCCAGCAGATATCTAATCTTTCTAATCATATGCCTCTCATGAGAAGTCTCTTTGTGCCTAGCAATTGTGGTATCTTGTTGGTGTTGACTAAAAACTATTGTTAAAGGACAGTACTGAGAAGAAGTACCATTAATACAATTGCATAGACTTGGTTTGCCATCTCAGAGGGAAAATGCTACCATGTTTACATGTTTAGAAAGCCACAGGATACATCCTTCATTAGAAGTGTCAGATTAGGAGACCAGGTATTAAGGTAGTGAAGAAAATATAGAAATACATGCCCTATATTCTAAGATTTTCATTGTTTCAATCGTTAAGGCTTATGTGCAATAAAATCCCATGTAGCCTGGGTACACCCGAGGGGTGTGCCCTGTCTTCCAATGACAGTGGTGGTGGTCAGGCAGAGTGCTGAGGAAGGGGTCAGCTACTAGAGCAGCTTCCTCCGCTCTCAATAGAGCTAGGCTGAAACCAAGTACTTACCTATGTACAATTTATTACAAGAATAATACAGACAATATAAAACAGAATATTTACAAGGCTTAACATATAATACTATATATAATATTCCACAGTTCACATATAATACCAAAAATGAACCAAATAACTTACAACCTATACAACACAATTAACACATAGGGATATTAACCTATATAACCCAAGTAAATTAACAATACTATTTCTTTAAACTTTTATGAATAACAATACCAATATATACATTGAGGCATTAAAACACATAAACCATATATACCCCCTTCAAGAATACCCCTAGCTATATAGCCCTTAACACAATGACCATCTCAAAATAGGGAGTGCACTCAGCACCTCCCCGAGGGGTTTCCCTGAAGTCCCTCCCCTTTAGGGCCCTGGGACATGGACACACCCCTCCCGCAATGGACGGTGGAGGCAGCAGACCCTCCTCATCCATGTCAGCCTCCCCTGCATGGCCTGCTTCCCCAGTAACTAATACTTCCTCTCTGGAGAACTCAAGGCTTGTTCCCTGGTGGCTGATCCTGCAAGAGCTTCTCTCCAATGGCACCTTTGTCTCTCCTTGACGGCCCAGCACCCCACACTGAGCACCCAGCACTCTTTCCCATGGGAGCCAAGCACTTACAGGCTCCGACTCCCTGGTCCCACACCGGGGGTTCTCCCCTTTCCTGGGCCCTGCTCTGGGCCCTGGGGCTCTTTTAGTTAAAGGTGGAGTCGCACTGTGGGGCTCCAGTCACTTAGCCTAGGGCTGGGACTAATGTGAGCAGCCATGAGCTGCTTCCAAGGCGGTTCTCCGTGCGCCTGCCCGCACACTGGCTGAGGCCTGAGCAGCCACAAGTTGCTCCCAGGGCCAGCTCTCCATGTGCTGATCTGCATACTGTGTGGGGCCCGATCAGCCTCGAGCTGCTTCCATGGGCCAGGTCTCTGTGTACCGATCTGCACACTGTGCAGGGCCTGAGCAGCCTTGAGCTGCTCCCAGGGCCAGCTCTCCATGTGCCGATCTGCACACGAACTGCCTAGCCGCTTGCTGGCTACACAGGCTTAAGCTGCCTCAAGTGGCTCCTAGAGCCTGATCCCCATGTGCCGATTCACGTACTGCTGAAGCTCAAGCAGGGTCCCAAGGATGGCCATCTCTGGAGCTCTTCTCTCCTTGCTGTCCCTTGTTTTCTCTCCCCAGCCCGCCGAGCACTCTCCCCTTTTATACTCCAGACCTGGCTAGTGCAGTTATCATTCAGGTCCAGCTGCTCCTTGCCCCCTCCCTTCGGAAAATTGCATGGTATTGCTTCCTTTTGCTGTTTCCGGATTGGTGGACAAGCTCCGCCAATCAAACAGCAGACCCTCAAGCTTGGGACTCTACCCAAGCCATGAAAAAGGTAAGCTTGCTACACCCATATTCTCTTATTGGAACTCCTTTAACTAATCAGATATTACCTGAATTTTCATTGGTGCTGTGACACAGAGGAACCCCATTTTAATGGACTGGAAGGGTTCCAAAATGTTTATACATTTTTGCAGTGTGGGTAGTGAATACTGAACACTGGAAGCTAAATGGCAGCATGAATCACTTGCACACATTTTGTAATATTTCCTCTGTAATCACAGCTCAGTCCTCCTTACTGCACTGGGACGACCATTTTTACACACTATTAATTTCACCTCTTCTGGGCAGTTGTTACACTTTCATATCCCGTGTGAAAAGATGTGAGAACAGTTCAGCGTGATTCACTAGAAAGCAGGTTTGCTATGAATAGAATTATTTACCCAAGCCAGCTAAAACAGGGATCCATCAGACATAAGCAAATTTAAGGAGTAATAAGTCTTATGCTTTCACTAGAAAGGTTCCATAACTTTAAGGAAATCACCTTCTCAAGCATCTCCTCATCTACGTTAGAAATCAGCCACATGGTGACACAGTAGGAGCTGTCAAATTACTCCTAACAGTAGTGGGGGAAGGGCACATGACTTTGAATAACTGAGGAATGAATTGTGGAAATGGATGCAAATTACTGAAGCACCCACTAAAACAATTCTAGTCTCATTTCAGTGTAGCACCAGTAGTGCTAATACAGCCATGATTCTGGTTTTAGCAGATGGTGGAGGATTTTTCCAGAGTGAGGAAGGCCCAGCAAGAGTTTTGTCATATACATTGTGGCTATACTTAGGGATCCAGTCAGAAACCAGATCCTCATTGTGCTTGTGCCCCACTGTACAAACATATAACAAAAAAGATAGTACCTTTCCCGCTTCAGATTGTTGGCAGGAATGCCTTCTTCTGTGCAAGGGA